AAATCTTTTTGAAATTGCACAAAACATCTATCCCCAATGTCTAAGCCTTTTCCGGACGCTTGAGGGAGCTGTTGCTAATCTTGAGTATGTAATGTGCATTAGTAAAACTGTCTTGGGCCAAATATTGTGGGGAGTGTGGCCCAGTTGTTTTGGTTTGTTGCTCATGATCAGATGTCAGGGGTTCAAATCATGCTGCTGGTCTTATTATGTTGGGTCCTTGGGCAAGCCACTTCACCCCCACTTGCCTCCACCCAGGAGTATTAATGAGTACCGGCATTAGCTGGGGAGTAACCTGGAATAGACTGGCATTCCATCCAGGGGGAGTAGAAATATTCTCAGTCGTTTCATGCTACTGAAACCGCGCCAGAGATAAACGCCGGCCTGATGGGCCTCATTGGCTCGTGACAGACTTTACTTTGAAGATTCCAAAAAAGTCCCGCTCTACTCTCCACGCAGCACGCTGCAGCCTTCCTTAAGTAATTAGCCAAGGTTTGCCATTAATCTTGATGTGATCCGGGGAACAGAGTTCCGAGGAAAATTCGGTCATTTTGTCATCAGCGGCGCTGGCTAGGATGATGGACGGGGCCCGCACGCGTACCTCCCCCGACCAAAACACGGTCAACATTATATTTCTCGTGAATGTCGCATTTGGTAATGATGACAGATTTTGCAGGCAATTGCAACCGAGAGATGATGAACATCCTGTTGAGAGAGTTATGTCATGAACAATTGCGACAACTTATGTCTTCAACAGCTGGGTTTTTGCAAAAACATCTTAATTAAGATCGAGTATCTGATGTATGCTTATTTAAAGGGCGCCCTCCCGAATGTGTGACCGTCCCTCGGACGATCCAAGCTGTCGAAAGTTTCAGACGAGTTAAAATTGCCACTGGCAATGATAACTTCGTTCACTTCCAAAATTCAGAAGAAAAAACTACTGATACAGCTGTCGAATGTGTTGAACCACACACCACATTATTAAATCTTAATTTACCATTTTTCATTTCGCAATGCCATTTCTTTGAAGGTGATATTTCCACAAGATAATCACCAATAGGCTAAATGTAGATCTAAATTCCAGCAAGTTTTGGGGAAAACGGGCTTTACTACAAATTTTATCAAAATATCTTGACGGTCCAAGCTCGCGGTTCTTTTCAGAGACAAGACCCTCAGAAAACCTGCAAGTGCACTGAACACAAAACTCAATCACAAAAGGGGCATGCAAATCACGATTTATTCGGTAGGCGATTTTGAAACTAACATTTTCTGCGGCTTGCATGTAACCCGTGGAGTTCTCGTTACGAGTAATGAAGGGAACAGTCTAGCTGTGGAGAATAGAAGCACAGCTTTTATACGACAAATCCCCGATCCAATACCGTTTTGGCGCGAACATGCTCTGTATTGAACGAAACACGTGGTGCCCCCACCAAAAACAAATCACATATAGGCCTACGTAGTGTTGGTCATTGTGTTTATACCACAATCTCAAGAATTCTTTTGAGATATCTAGGGGGATGTGTTAGGTAACAACAGTAGTCTAGGGTGTGTATAGGGTATAGTGAGATTTTTTTGGGGGGGGGTGAAAGATAATTTTTTTAGGGTTTGGTTTGGTTGAGATTTCGTATAATGTGATTTTTTTATGTGGTACAAACTTTGCCGGAGGGCAAACAATGAAAACATGAATACTTTGTCAACACAGAAAAACTTTAAAATAAATAACACGAACAAGATGGCTTTTTTCTTTGTAAAAACAACTTTACTACAAAAGATTCACGAAACTGACACGATCGGCAAGCTCCAATCGCCAATTCGCAGCCCTCCACAACGAGGGCGTAAATAAATGTACAAAATTCTTGGTCAGAATTTTCCAAGAAAAAATGCATAGTTTCAAATAATGTCGTCAAGAATGAGGTAATTAATATAAACATTTGTATTGCCTAGACGGGCTTCTACAGCCCATGCATAGTTGTTTCAAATATTTGAATTGTTCAAAGTTGCATAACATTTTCCCTAGCTGACTTAGCCAGGAACTATGACAAACACTTCTAAAAATAGATTCAAAAACATTTTCCAGAAATATATTTTATGGAAATCTATAGTTTAAAATATACTATTATCATGATGGAGTTGGGGAAAAAAGTTAAGTATGAGATATATATACATGCGTACAGGTTTTCTATAACGATTTAAGGCACTGATTTTAAAATATTATATCAGACGACAATAGGGCCGATGACGCGAATCTTACTTGGGAACATATTTTGTGCAACTTTCTACTCCCCTTAAAAGTATACAAACTATCTGACATCTCTTTTCGGTTAATTTTACTGAAAAGTGAATTTTTTTTACATTTAAAATTTTCCATGTTTTTTTTTTGACAAATGAGGGCGCTGTTGCTGTGATGTCATTTCAGGAAGGCACTGTTCACTTTAGGTTTTTGGTTCAAATTGTGGACCCGAAATTAGGTCATTGATAACATTTGTGAGAAAAGTTTGCTCATTGGCTTACTGTTAATGTCATGTACTGAAACAACAAATCACCAACAAAAACACTTTGAAAAAGCTGTAACATTGATGTTTCTGCCTGAAATGACATCACACGTTTCATGAATATGGAAACTCCATGAGCATAAAAACACATAAGGCACCAAAATACCCTTAAAAACGGCAAAGTGAAAACTGAAAATAACTTTAAATGGGACACAAAGGTACATTTTCAAGGATTGCATTTAAAAAGATTACTTAACATGCACCCTTTAAATAAAAAGAATAATTTCAGCATCCCCTCACGAAAATTCTTCTTTTTCTTCCTTTCAATAAATTAATAAACTGGCATGGTATCAGAATTTCAAATAAAAACACAAACATTTCGTGAAAGGGATATCCTAAATGCCACAGGTTGCACATTGCTAAATACATTGTTCACTTTGTCATTGCCACTCGAATATTACAGTAATGGTGGCAGCCTAGCTATTGTGGTATAATTAACAATGGACCGTTCCAGTAAGCTCCGCCCAGTGCGCACGTGGGCAAATTAACACGTGCTCCTCTCCAATGCCACGCTGCATTGTCCTTCCGCGCGCATCATACGCGCGTGCACGCATGTCGGACTTTAGCGCACGCACGTCGGACATAAATCACGGCTGTGATTGGTCAGAACACCATGGGGCGGTGCTTACTGGATCGGTCCATTGTCGACTGCTGTGGTGTGGGATATGGCGTTTTTAACCCCCGAGGGGCGCATGCGCCCAACTCAGTGTAAATGTATAAAGTAAACAGTCATTTTTTTTACAGACTGGACAAGTGGCGGTTTTAGACCAATGAAACAATATCACATGATATAGCAATGCGGTTTTGTACATTCTCATCATAAGGTCAATGTGTGGCTTTATGTGATATGTATAATTTGCATAAATGTGGCAAACCAGCGTGGTCTTTAATTTTTAATATGAAATAAGTGTAAAAAATATAATTTCCGTGGTATCAAAAATTTAGCAGGCACGTCTTTGCTGAATTACCTGAGCTTTTGGGGGTTTATAAATCCACACAATTTATGTAATTGGAGTTGTCCAACTTTTAAGGTAGTGCCAGTATCAGAACTCCAGTGGTACCACTTATGATAATTTATGTTTTAAATAATGAAAGGTTTGCGGAAACAACATGTGCGAATAATTTCTCAACTAAGAGAATGGTTATGAAAAGAACCAGAGGTATAAACTCCACGTTCCGGTCAGTATGCTCCGACAGTCTTCAGGAGAGAGCATACTGACCGGAACGTCGAGTTTATACCTCTGGTTCTTTTCAGAACCATTCTCTGAGTTGAGAAATTATTCGCACATGGTGTTTCCGCAAACCTTTCATTATTTAGTATCTCCACCATGCAAAGCCACAAATCTTACTTAATTTATGTTTTTCCTTTGAATCGTTGCAAGACACTTAGGTTCTCGTTCTCTTTTTCCCTTAAATTAAAATTATCTCAACGATAAACTCAAGGAAAAATAGTCAATGAAAAGGAGCAGCGACGACGTGGATTCGAACCAGGGATCTTTGTATCCATAGCTCATCTCGCTATCCACTAGGCTACTGTGTGGTAGCTCGACGACAATCGTTCTTAAAAATGCGTTAATGTAATGGTTTGACTAAATACAGTCGAGTCTCGTTAATACAAACTCGTTCGGACCTAGCCAAATTGTTTGTTATATCAGAATTTTGTATTAAGAGGAACATCAGTCCCATTCATTGTGCACATAAATGCACAGTCGGGACTAAGGCTTTATGTTTGTTATAACCAGAATTTTGTATTAACAGAGTTTGTACTAACGGGATTCGTAACAACAATGCTCTTGATATCATTGTTCTGTTCTCATGAATAAACATACTGGCCCATTGACGTAAGAATAAATGAGCATATAAAGTGGTACCACAGGGGCTGCGATACTGGAGCTACCAACTTTTAATCCGCGAGAGGCACATAAGAGACACAAGAACATGAAGAATACACAAAAACAGCACCATTGAAAACATACAAAAATAAAGAATTGGTGAACTTCATGCATAGTCCGTATCAAATGGGTAAAACAATGCACACATTTGAAAATAATGCTGGTTTATGTACGCGAACAACAATTCTAAAAAAGCACACTGAACGTTTCAACTACAAAAGCATTTCAATATGTAAATATGCAGCAAACACGTGGCCGATGGCTTTGGTAAATGATCACAAAATTACCTACTATAGATCTCATAATCACTTTTTTGTCTTTTTAAAATTTTCCCTAAGTTCAAAGTAACGGAGAAAAAGTCATACTTAAGGCCAAAAAACAATGTTTTTGGTTTCTGGTATGGAGCTTGCTCAAAAAGCGGTGCGGCGATGCGGCTTTTTTTTTTTACCGTTTTTTCTTCTTCAAATGTCAGCCGATGACTGCAAATGATGCCCGACTAAACATAGTGCAAATATATTGGAGTCCAGAGAGGCCACATAAAGCTTATTCTCGACCATAACCCAATCTAAAAACACGTTAAAATTGTGCAGCAGCAGGATTCCAGTCAAACCAGTGAGTTTGGCGGTTTTGAGACATCATCTTTCATTGAAAAAAACTTGCTCATGTTGCCGATGTGCATTGCTACGGCGACGCGCAGAGACTTTTTTTTTGGCCTAATCGTAAAAGCAGCGTTTGTATGCAGGAGTTGGAAGCGGATTAACTTTTGGCATTAACGATGCATTCCCTGTGATTATTTTCAAGTTTCATCAACAAAAATGTGTAACTTGTAACGGGCTTTGCAGCCAATCCATATATGATTGTTTTTTTTTCTTCGCAATATCACCGGTTGCAAATTTCGTTCATCTCTTGATGCCGTAATACGCCATCTGCTTCTCCAACCTGTCCTTGATGAAGTGATAAAACTCGTATTCGTAGTACATGAGATGTTTCATGATGGTCGTTGCTTCTTCCGACGGCTTCTCCTTGAATTTTGTCGTTGTTGAGCCATTCTTCAACACCTGTTTTTCATCTAAAATAAAGAAAACAAAACGTTACCATCAGGTTTGTTAGTTGGCCATTTTTTGAGACTTCGTAAAAATGCATTCAAATGGGACATCAGGTTTTATTCAAGTTCAATGTGAAAGAGGAGACATTTCTAAATAATTCAACTTTGAATATAATATTAATACCAGAGTCTTATATACCGCACGTATCTACCAAAAATTAGGTACTCAAGGCACTAGAAATAATGTCTATTTTTTTAGTTTATGAGAAATATGAGACCCATTATGTTGCCTTATGCATACATGTATATAGTCTGGCGCCATCCCATTCAGCAGTTAACAATTTATGAAATACATTCAGGGAACTCAACAAAAATGGCCAACTACGGCTTTACGTCCCATCCGAAGGACGAAGCAATAATGGTAAAGTGCCTTGCTCAAGAGCACAAGCACCATGTTCCCACGGTCAGGATTCGAACCCATGTAGTACCATGGCACACGAGTTGAACACCGTAACCATTGGACCACAGCCCCCACCAATATACAAAGCAGTAACATTGTTTTAAAGTTTAAGAACAATTAAGCAAATAAGTAATCAACTGGGAAAAAAGGAAATTCAGACGAAACTCAAAGATAATCTGACCTTTAGTGAAAAAAATCTGACTTTTGAGGGGAAGGAATCTTGTATGGAGCAACGTTCCAGCTTCTTTCTTGATATGTACTGCAGTGACCATGTGACGACGGGGCCGTTCGCGACAATGAGCAGGGTACGACAGATCATGTGACCACGGTCACATGACAGGCTTTGGCGTTTGCGCATCATTTTGGATTGTATACTATCGTTTGATGGCACTTGAAAAAGTCACTTTTCCCATTTATTTAAAATACAATATAAGGTGACAGATGTTAGTTTTGACAATGATTTCTTAACAACACTTTGTAAACTCAAGTTTCTTCACAAAATCTTCGTGATGAGTAACTTAATGTTCCAACATGAAATTGCAAATTCATAATCCAAAAATTATCAAGGGCTTGATTCGAACAGTATATAACATAAATCATGGTTAAGCAGCACAGTAAACATCTAAATAAGTTAAACCAGACAGTCCTGTTCAGGACTACCATTACTTCCAAAAGGAGAAATGACCATTGTTGCACAAAAATAAAAATAAAAAAGAACCAAATATAGATTAAACGTTAAAGAAAGTAACACTACCCTCGCCCCAAATCCATTACATTCCTAGCAAATGATATTGAAGACCGTGGACAGATTGAAAAATCGTCACTTAATTTCAATTGGCTCTAACTCAATAAATATTTACACGATTGGAAAGATTTTATCGTCGGTGAAAAGCTAATGAACTTTACTCCACATATGATTCGATATTTGCGAGGTATTTTTTTTAAAAGCTGTGAAAAAGAGGGCACTTTGAGGGTAATTTTTTTTAGGCACCCTGTAGGTTTAGGGGTGTGAATGGGCTAAAATAAGGCCATATGAAAAAAAATGGGCGACAGACCATTATCATGTTGCGGCCATCTTGATTTTTTTCAACATTCAAATCAATGTAACCAAAGCGAGGCTTGAAGGAAAAATAGTCTGGTTCCATTTTGCATAAAAAGCATTATCATTCAGTACTGTTATTGGATACAGGGAACATAACTGAAATGGTGGCGGCATGCTAAAGGGCTATGACTTGCGGTAACACACATGCCTATAGGAAATGGCTTCGGCTACTCCCATAGGCGCGGGTGTACTTTAGAGCCACAGTCACGTCATTCCAACGCTGCCCACTCTGGCTACGACTTACCTGGTTTCAACAGCAGTTGGACGGCTCCCGTGAAGTATTGGGGCAGGACTTTCTCAAAGACTCTGAAACTGTTCTCCATGTCTTCAAGGATTCCGACAGCTACGAAGTGTTTCTCTACGTTCTCCTTGGCTCGGTCCAAGGCCCACTGAGTTGGTTCTCTGTTGTTGGGGGGGGGGGGCAAGAATGATGGGGGAATAGACGGCAGAAAAAGTGAGTAAACCAAAAAGGGTTTGGGTGGAATTTGCCTCTTGTACATTTTTTTCTGATATCAACATACGATTGTTTCATTTATGCCGAGCTTTTAGTTTTTATAATAATCATAATAATAAAAATTTGGGAGGCTAATCATCTTTACTCGCAGCTGGTATGCTGAATTGCGAAGGACGCGGCTACAACGTGGTTGGGCTGCTGGCACGTACAGGCGCCTATGGCTGCCGGCCACATCGACCCATATATGACCACGGAGCACAGCCCGAGATTTTTCCGGAGGGAGGAAAACCGGAGGGCCAAGAGAAAAACCCTCGTGGCACAGGAGAGAACCAACGCACAACTGTACTCATACTCATACTTTTAAATTGATTACTTGCAGTGCTTTGAAACCAATTCTATAAAAAATTGGATGATAGAGTCAAACAATTCAAGTGATGTGCAGAATTTAAACAAAAATTAATTAATTAATCGTGTACAAGAAAATTTGTTTATTTACATTGTTCTTGACACAACACTAATACGCCGTAGAAGTGTGACGTCAAGCAGAGTCATCACCAACAGTAATGTGTCCAAATAATGTCTCGTCCGTCATTTTTACCATAGGATTTGGACAGACGATTTTGGTGAACATTTTCTAGTTTCTCAGAGATTTAGAATAAATAAGACTGGAAAAAGGTAACGTGCTTCGTAACTGACTACAGTTATCACTCAGAACGTGATGGATTCCGACATGTTTTTTTCTAACAGATGAAAAATTGATGAAAAAGTGGGTACCATGCGCATCGCTACGTAAGACCAGGTTTGTGTGGAAACATCACGTGACCTCAGCGGTGTATGACATAACCACTTCTACGTAGTAGACCCTTGTTTTGTCTCCAGACAAGAAACCTGAAAGTATCTTACCGGCATTTTTTCAGTTGACCACAGAAGAACGGAATGATGTAGATTATGCCAGAAGTAATGCACTCTTTGTGGCCGTTGACGATACAATCTGTAACAGACTACAGCAAACAAAACACACCAATATTGACAAAATATTATTCTATTCACGGGTCGGCCATATTGAATGGAAAGCAGGGAAAACATTTCATTTTTGGAACTTGCGAGTAAGAAATGAAAGCAATGAAATGTAGTTCATTACAAATTAACACCAGTCTGCTCTGATGAATAAGTTAAAACTTGTGATTAAACAAACCCTAATGTTTTAATAGCCACATTTCAGCAAAAAAATATTGGAAGTGTGGCTTAGAACGCACTTAAATTGTCTGGCACTATGTCATTCAACATTTTACAATTTATAAAAGAGATTAAAGGAACACGATCAAAAATGGTTTCCTTGGAGAATAAGACGCTTTTGCGTCATTCTCAAAGAGCTACGCAGCATCACAGAGCTGCGATGCAATCGTTAGTTATGATGAGTTTCATGAAATCCAGTGCCGGCCATGGAGAGAAACAATTGTAGTAAAGTGGCATGCTCAGGGACACAGAATCAATCCCCTGATTGGGATGAAATCTGCAATTTCAGACAATCAGATTAAATTTCACGATCCAAGCTGAGGTTCAAACACCCACTCTGTACCTAATTTGACCTATAGTGTCCTGAATTGCAGTAAAGTGGAATGCTTATGGACACCAAAACCATAATCCCCAAGCCGGGAGGACAACCCCACATTACAATACAATTTCTCACTTCAAGCACTCTGACAAAAACTCACTCTGTCTCTGGTCTCATTTGACCCCTTATATTTCCGGATGCTCCGCCCATCGCCGAAGCGTTTAAAGTAGTAATTCGACACAAATCGGGCCAGGGGATCCCTTATTATGTTGATGTACATCGGCTGCTTGGCGTTAAATCTATCAAGAAGAGAAAAGAAAAACAGAATGTGAGCAGATCCCACAAAGTCTTTTTTTACTCGCTCATTTTTCACGAGCCATTCAACAAAGACACCCACAAAATAGGGTATCCACAACATAGGGCTGGATAGCTCAGTTGGTAGAGCACCGGAACGTTAATCTGGAGGTCGCAGGTCCAAACATTGTTCCTGTCAATTTCTTTGGTTTAACTGATTGAACAGAAAAAGAACACAAAAATTGCACTCACTCAGTGAAGTCAACAAAATGAAGGTGCCGCTGAAAAAGGTAAGGCGTCTTCACTTTTTCCAAAATCCTCACGATACCACCCTGCATAGAAACGACAAAAAAGAGGGTCTTTCAAGAAAGTGTGGCCTGTTTCTATATTGCCAGGAAAAAAGCATGTGAAAAAAAATAAATGTATATTTTGGCACAATTGGGGGGAAAGTCACAAAAAAACATCAGGAATACATCCTTAATTATTCCCTTTTCAATTACAGTTTTGAATAAACGACAGATTTTATTTGAAGTGGTAAAAGTGATTGACCTAATTTTAGGGCTGTCCCAAATATACCAACATTTTTTAATATTTGATCATTAACCGAATATTTAAAATAGCGTTTTGCTGTTTTTGATTGCTCGAAAACCTAAAAAATACACACAGTATACATGTACACACAGGGTGCCACTTTTTTGGTCGACGTTAAGTTTTTGGGTGTACGGTGGTTCATCGCTCCTGTCCTTTTAGCTGGTTAAAGCCATGAGCAGACCGATACGTGCAATTTTTGACTGGAACAGCCTTTAATCACAAGCATGACAAGTCGGCCATATTAAATTGAAAGCGAGGTAAAATCTTCATTTTCTGAACTTGCAAACAGAAATGACAGTAATGAAATAAAGTTAATTACAAATAAATACCAGTCCGCTCTGACAAATATTTTAGAATTTGCGATTAAGTAAACGCTTATGTTTTAAGCCACATTTAAAATTTTTTTTAAAATGAGGCTTGGAAAGCATAAATAGTCTGGCACCATCCCATATAACAGTTTACAAGGCCTATTTAGACATACGTGATTTTGTCTCAACGACTACATGTATGTCGCGCGCCAAGGCAATGTCACACACACGCGTTTGAACGAACAAATATGCGATATGTTGCACGATGTTTGAAACCAGCCCAACAAGTCGCACGACTTTGTCGCGTAAATGTAAACGCGCTCATTGATCTGTGCGTATATATAGAAACGCGTAACATTATCGGGCGACAAAATCAAATAAAATTCAGGGAACACGATCAAAAATAGCTTCCTCCTGAATAAGGTCTATGGCTCGCAGTTGCAGCTGGCAGATTCCAATATCTGAATATTCGGTCAAACGTAGTTTCGAGTAATCAAGTACTAAATTATTCAGATATAGACAGCCCTAATTTCCACTCACCTGCCAGGATGTGCTAAGGTGGGTCTGATTGTACACCAGTGAAGAGATCAGGTGGAAGTTGTTCATGTCCGACAGTTTCTGCAGGATACTGATGACGGTCCGACTGCCGCATTTCCCGACGCGGTTGAAAATCAGAGCGTCCTCTTTCTGTGTGCGAAAGACTTTGAAAGATGATCATAGCAGCCTGCGTGGGGGGGGGGGGGGAGAGGGAGAAAATTTGGGGGGGGGGGTGAATCTGCAGCCTGTAAATGTACGTTATTCTGATGCCATGGCCTAGCAATTTTTAGCAGCAGCATAGCAGTTGAAAAGTTCAACAAATCATTATGTCTATCAATTAGTTAGTTGGTAGCAAACGTTGGCACTGTCTATGCTCCTACATATTTTGACCGATTTCAACCAAACTTTGTCAAAATGTACATGTACGTTATTCTGATGCCATGGCCTAGCCAGTTTTAGCTGCGGGATAGCAGTTAAAAGCTCAACCAATCATGATGTTTCTCCATTAGTTATTTAGTAACAAACGTTGACATGTGTCTATCGCTGCTACATATTTTGATTGATTTCAACCAAACTTTTAGTCAAAAATATCAGTAGCCCAGCCCCAACATGAAAAGTGTTTTAAGACTAGACAGCCCCGTCTTTATCAACCGTTTAAAACTGGTGATCACGTGACAGGCTCTCGACCAATAGGAATGGATACACTGTCTCAGGTATTTATGAATATTAATTATTAATATGCTTTAATTGAAATGAGCCAAAACATTGCATGTACATGTACTTAACACGAATGCCTCTTCTAACGCAGTAACAGGAGGGGGGGGGGGGCAAAATCGCCAAACACCGACCCCACCCCCGCCCCGGCAATCAGTCGGCTGAAAAAAATGGCTAGGAAAACATAATAAAAAAAGGGTCCCCAAAACAACATTACATATCACACATTACCTTCCATTCTCGATCGCCTTTCTGACGAAATGGCAGACGTGTCAACGCTTTGGGGTCTCGTTCGTTCCACTGATGGTCATTCCGTCTCGAAAAAGTTGGGGTATCAAGTGGAGATGGTACCATTTCCTTCCTTATCATGCCCTGAAGATAATTTTGTTGGTCGTCTTCGGGGTTCAGAACAATCCCTTTTGAAGGTACAGAGCCCCGCAACACATCAGATGGGGACGCGCGATTAGTCTGGCTCCTGGACGGAAGATTCATAACCCCTCTATGTTTCTCTGTTAGCGAGTCTAGTCTCTGCCTCTCTCCAATGATGTCGTTAGATGGTAACATTTTCCCTGGGGCAAAGTCCACGCCATCTGGCATGTTTTCTTCTTTGTCTGAGCCACCCAGAAGTTGCTGTGGTGGGGGCTGTTTTTCCGAGAGTATATCTGTAAAAAAAACAAAAAAAACAAGAACAATGAGTTTCTGTCCTATTTAGATGCACACCCGATGATCTTTAAAAAGTGGATTTGTTTTCCTCCTCACATAATTATTTTCAATTTATTTTTTTTTTTTACGGGAAAAACTACTTCATTCTGTATTTAGGCGTCTGCAACCCTCTGAAAAGGGCTTATGAAATTATTGTCTGGCAGCTCATAATTCAATTTTTTGGTGAATAAATAATTCAATATCTAAACGTCGATAGATCTGTTTTTAATCAATGTCTCATTCAAAAGTGAATATGTTTTATACTTCTAGATAAACAGCAATTGAAAAAAACAAATCTGATTTCTACTTCACTCACCCTTGTTTTTCCTCCTGCCATCTCGGGAGCGGAGCCAAGAATCCCCCGTATTCTTACGAGACTCCTCCCATGAATTGACCACTTGCTCGCGGGGATGGTAGGCCTGCGCGAAAACCCTGTGTCCGACCCACTGTCCGGTCACGTGGACAAGTACCAACGTCATGGCTGTCGCGATGACGAGCAGCGCGACTAGGACCGACTTACGCGACGGTACCGGTAGTCTGTTCAAGCAGCTGTGTTCCTCGTGGTCTGTCATGGTCTATTCTCGTTCTCTGCGCAGGTCTGTAGTTCATACACAGAAGAAGTTGCCCGTACGGTGCGGCCCTGTATGTAAAGAAAAGATTGCTGATAAATGTAAAAACATTTTACAGAGGTCCTACTAAACTGCGTCAACAAGCGTCAACAAGCGTCAACAAGCCTCAACGGTCGTCAACAAGCATCAACAAATTTTGTATATGCTTTTGAACATTAAAAGAAGCCTTATATGGTAGAAAAAGCGTGAAATGTACGACGAGTTTGTCGAGTTTGGGGTGGCCACCATTTTGTTTACGTGAAGCTAGCCGTACTAGGCATGCGTGAAGTGTACATTGCCTTCCAAACAAGATGGCGGCCAACACTAATCGACAAACTCGTCGTACATTTCGCGTTAAAAAAAACAAGTTTTTAAATAATTTTAACTTTAATTGATGCAGAAGATGGTCTTTATTGCTTTTTCTACCATATAAAGCTACTTTTAATGTTCAAATGCATATACAAAATTTGTTAATGCTTGTTGACGACCCTTGACACTTGTTGACGCAGTTTAGTAGGACCCTTTTACAGCATGTACCATACAAATTCTACCCAAACACACAATGTCAATCTTAGCACCACTTTTTCACTGTAAAAGCTCAGTGATGGTCAATCTTTGCAAATATGTTGAAAAAATGAGTGAGTTTTGTTTATTGACAAATTATTCGTTTACTTTTCTGCATTTATTTATTCTTCATTGTCTTTTTTCTTAGCAGAAAGCATACAGTGCCTATATATTTCCAAGGTTTCATAATTTTTTTTATGATGAATAATTTATACTGCCCTGTGCATTTAACCACACGTTGTCAGATATTTTCTCATAAAACTGGTTTTAATATCACACGTCATGTTTTTTAATGTATACTTCTGCCCTTTTTATTGTAAACATAATTACTTATTGATAAATGCTTTTAAAGTATAGCTTTGTTCTAACAACCAGATGTGGCTAGCACTGCTCCAAGCCCATCTGGAAGTAGTGTCCTATATTGTTGTCGTTTGTGATGGCTGAATAATAATAATTATAATAAATAATAATAATATTTTTTTTCCCAACTAAAAAACTTGTTTCACTATTTCCAAAGCACATAGGCCTACTCCAAATAACTTTAGTCATTTTGTAGTTCCGGACTGTTTCTAGTTCCGGATTGCTTCAAATAAAAACCAACCTACTTTTGAATTGGTCTCCAATATTATTTTTTCAGACGAAGTGCATTTTTGAAAAGGAAAATTTAAGCTTCTTGACACACAACGATCTAGCCTATTCGATAAAATCTGTAGAAAAGGAATTTTGGCCAGATTTCCGAATCGCACTTTGACATGTTTGGACGGTTCGTAGTAAATCACGGGAGCCGCGAATCGACAATGAATTTTCTCCTCGGTACATCACTCAGACGATGTGATTTCGTTTTGTTCGTACTCTAAGTCTATAACTCAACAGTCGTATACTATAATCCATAAACTCTTGCATTGCATGTATCATGTTTGCTGAATCAAAATTTATTAAGGGAACAAATGTTGCAACCCGACGCCACTTCCTAACAAAAGTAACTAACAAAATTGGAAATGTATCTCACTCAGTCATGACAGTCCCAGATTCATGTCTTATCATTTTTGCAATGAATGGCCTTCATTGTGAAGATAATATGAAGAAAAAAGTGTGCCACCCATATGAGGTTCGCTGACTCGGCACAATGAAGAATAAATGGAGGAATTCCTCCACAAACCATAAACAAACAAACTACAAAGCAACCTTCACAAACAAAGAGGCAAAACAAATCTCTTCTCCCGTAAAGTTCCCATCAAAAGATGCCCCCCAAATTTTCTCCCATTGTTCTTACCACTCATGGCCAACGTGACGGTTGTTTGCCACACTCAAATCACGACGAATCCGCGGCCATTTCTTGACAAAAGTCCTCAAAACCAGCCACGTCTCCGTCTTGAACTTCACAAACTTGTCGAAACTTTCACTTAGTTTGGTGTTCGACTACAACTTAAAATCCATACAGCAAAAGGCGGCACTGCGGCAAAGCGCAGCATATTAGGGTCGCAAATCTCCTTTAAATGCATGGTTTTTATTTGCAACTGGGCTTGAAGAAATAGACTTGTTCCTGTCGCCTCGAATGACAAAAAATACTCGACTGAAGGGGTGGGGCTACCGGGGGGGGGGGGGATTAACACTATTTAATTAAACAATAATGAAATGAAAGATATTTTGAAGTAATTTACTTTATTTCATTAAAATGTATTCAAATCACATTCAATATAAAGTTACAAATGGTTGCAAGATATTGAAAAATGCCTGTTTAGTAAGGTCACAAAAACAAAGCCTTTTAGAAAACATCAATTTAAAAAAACCTGCATTTTTACAAGAGGATAAAAGTTTACTGAGGAATGACTAGGAAACATGGTTTTTATGCATTTAAATTTCAGACACAGGTAATCTGTTCCCAAGGTTTGTTACTCGTGATCAGAGGGTCAGGGGTTCGAATCCAGCCGCTGGCCATATGTTGTGTTCTTGGGCAAGCCACTTTACTCCCACTTGCCTCTCTCCACCCAGGAGTATAAATGGGTACCAGCATTAGCTGGGGAGTAACCTGCGAAGGAGGAAATAGGCATTTTTTTAGTCATTTAATGCCAAGGAAACCAGAGATAAACGCCGGGCTGATGAACGATATTTGCTTGTGACAGACGTTTTATCGAACGGAACTTCCCCAAGTGGAAATGCTAAAGAGAAACCGTGGTTAAAACCCCAACTATAATCTTGGTCAGTTCCACATCCACTATTTACTGGTGACATCACTTCCTGAAAAGGTCACAAGCACTTCCTGTAAAGGTCACAAGCAAGCTTCCTTATCAACGGTTGATAATTCTTGCATGGCACATACAGTAGCTAGTATACAAAATAACGACTGCTTTGGCTGACACAATACAACCCCCCCCCCAAAGGAACACAGCAATACTTGAACAGTGAATACCATGTGATGTACTCTCAGCCAATCAAAACACAGAATCTGTAGTTTAGGAGTTACAATGTATATGGCACAAAATACTCAACATATGACAAATTTTCCACGTTAGACCCTGTACTGCCCCAACATGCCCTGCCTGTTACTCCTTATACCGGCCCAATTTAAACACTCTGTAGCTTTATGGACTGGGAAGGGAATAAATGCAGTACAGTGTAATACAATGTAATACAATGTAATACAATGTAATACAATGTAATACAATGTAGTACAATGTAATACAATGTAGTACAAAGTAATATGGATGATTTTTACTCTTCAAACTCCAAGCATAAGATGGCACACTGGCGAATCTGATCCAGCACACTGGCGAATCTATTTTTCACACATCATGTTTTTCACTCTTCAAAGCTAGAAAAACTAAACTTACAAAGGGTTGATCAAATGAAATTAACAACTACCTCCTGTCACGATACCTGTCCCTATCTCTGTCCCTCTCCCTACCCCTGTCCCTCACCCTGTCTCTCTCATCATCTCTCCTGTGTCTGTCACCATCCGTGTGTCTGTCTGCACCCCAGTCCCTTCCCCTACCTCTGTCCCAATCATCTCTCCCCCGATCATCTCTTCCCTTATCCCGTCCCTTGTCCCTGTGCGAGTCTTTCCCCCTTCCATCTCTGTCGTCCCTTCTGTCATCCCTTCTGTCACTCCGACTTGTCTCCCCTCGGTCTCTGTCCCTGTTTCTCTCCCTGTGTCTGTCCCTGTGTGTATCGTCCTCACTTGAGCTGTCATGCTTTCTGCGTTTTTCCTTCTTTCGGCGTCTGCTACCTTCGCTGCTTGAGCTGCTGTCCCTGTGTTTCTTTTGCTTTGCCTAAAATTTCAGCAAATAAACAAATCAGGGGTTAAAGGGAATATACAACATTTGCTTTTGCTATAATTTTCAGAAATTGGAGGAATAGTATGTTAAAGCAAATATTGTTACACTGACTTGTTTTGAAAACCAATCATGTTCTTGTAGTCTGGTTCCCTAACCCCACTTAAGGTGAAACAAAGCAATTTATAGACATTGAGGAATTATTAGGTCAGAAAATCAGTCTAGCTAACTTGTACCTCTTCACGGGTGTGTAATCTATTGCAAAGAAAATGTGGAACAACTAAATATGAACACTTAGGAGCACTTTTTGAAAAAAAGCCAGTTTCCCCAACGCTGGTCAGCCGACCAGCATTGGAAATTGATACAAAAATACCACTTTACTTAAAAATGTCAGCACACCAGGAGCCATGATTGTACGGGATGCTTTAGACTGTCATTCCATAACAGTCCAGTAAAGAATTTCATGGTAATTTGATCATTTTGTTTTTTGATGTTTGCAAATGTTGTATCTTCCCTTTAATTTTTAAAAGATACTAGGGCCCAATTCCACGGCTGTGCTTACTATCCACTGAGATGAAACTTCAACAGGTTAGGTTTTGAACATTCTGTTATGGATTTTGAGTGGTGTTATTATTGGATATGAACAAAATGCAGGAAAAGCAAATGATCATATAAGGGGAAAGCTGGGACCATTCAGAACAACCTTTGATTTTCTGCTGGACCTGCCACTTCTGCCGTCACTAGAATCTTCGCTGGAATCCTGACGTCTCTTACGCGAGCCTGATGCATGATGGGAAGGGGCCTCCATGTCGTCCCCTTCTAGAACGAGGTCATATTTGGTCCTGCATTCACAAGTATAAAGGATAAATACATGACTGTCACCATGAAATGAATATTAAAGGGAATAAACACCATTTGCTTTTGCTGTAATTTTCAGAAATGGATGAAGGGGGGGGGGGTAGTATTTCGTAGCAAATATTGTTACACTGATCTTCTTAAAAAATTTTTTACAGATGATGAAAAAAACCAAGAACTAAATGCTGTTCTTGAAGTCTGGTTGCCTGACCGTACTTCAAACTAAACAGAGCAATTTACAGTTGTCGGGGAATTGTCAGGGTCAGGGAACCACACTAGCTGGCTTGCACCTGTGCACGGATGTGTAACCGATTGCAAACAAATTGTGGACTAACTAACTTTGGTATTAAATCAGTTTTTTTTCCAACGCTGGCCAGCCGACCATCATTACTATTACTATGTTAGAGTCATTAGAAATACTAAACTGAGCTCTCCAGAGACCTCGTAAATATCCATATTGGAAAGGACTTGTTTTTGAAGTCGGCCTTCTCTTCACAGACCACCTTTCAGGTTTGTTGAGATTGATGACTGAACTCACAGTGAACCTAACCAAAATGGCACACACATGGACACACACATGTTTACGTTACATACCAAGTGTGGACATTCCCTTGGTTTCGTGTAGTTAAGAAAAACCTCTGAAACAAAAATTACTTTTCTCTCACCGTGAAAACTCTTTCAACCCAATTTTTTTTCTATGATCCCCTTAAGTGTTTTTCTTTATTTTGCAACAGATAAACCTAACCCCAGAATGCCTCTAAACCTGTTTTCCAGAAATGGGGAAACACTGTGTGGACTTGCCCAAGTCCACACAACGTCTCCTCTACCTGCTTTATGTGGACCTCTTTTGTTCGGAAGTCCACACAGTGAATGTAATGCCTACCCACAGCAGGAATACGCGATCGCAACATCCCCCTATCTGGCTTGAAAGCCAGGTGGATAAAAATCAAAGGCTGTCTATAAAGATTACACTGACTTACCCATGTTGTCTGGATTTGTCCTTCAATTCAAATTTGGGCTTCTTGTCCGAGCTACCCTGTGGGATCTCCATGGGACCTGTCAAAACAAAAAAGAAATTTTCCTATTTTTGAGTCTTGCACTTTAAAGACATACATGTAATTAGCACTGTATACGTAGTGCCGTCTTAGATCTTGGGAGAAAAAAGTATTCATAAACTTACTCGTGTACAAAAACTGATATTAAAATTTACATCTCCCGACACAAAATTCCATTGCTTAAAAAACACAAACCTCCTATGTACACACACAAAATCTCACAGTTTGCCATTTGCAAAAAAATTGACAGTAACTTAACCACTTCAAGCCGAGATTTTTTTTGCCGAAAATTCCGATTTTTGCAAAGGCAAAATTTTCCAGCCAACTTCTGATATACAGCTAAACGCCACAAATACTGATTCGCAAGAGTTATTTCAACAATATTTGTATGAGGTTTCCTGCCGAAACCTCATATGTTTCAATACTCCGGGGTGTACACTGGAGCGTAAATTGTACAACAATTGGCTGTGCACAACGGCCAATTCAAGATCAACACATGGTCCGCCTCCACAGACTTCACGGACTTTGCGTGTGTGTGTACAAAAGGCACGAGGGATTAGCGTGTTTAGACATCACCCGGAGGCGAGTCGAGGCAATCTTGACATCTTAACCCGTCAGCTGTGCCTGTGTATAAAAACAGCAAGTGCTGAATAACAAAACGAACTACTAATTTAAATTCCTACGGTGTGTCTTAAGAAGCACCGTTGGAAAGGCCTTCTTTTGTCTTACTTCAAAATGACAGCTTGCCAGAAAGAATAACTTCACAGGGAGTTTAGTCCTCTTACTGTCTTTCAACCAAGTATGTTTTTCAACAATAATTACGCCAGTTACTTTTCGGATAGCTGCAAATGATGGCCTATAGCTTTAAGTAGTTGGGAATATTTTTTCTACTCTGTGACTCAGTCAGTCAGTATAAAGCAAACCAAAACTCGGCTTGCCCTTTTGGTCGAGAAAAAATCACGCCATGAAACAATTCCAAACAACCAGGTTTCTGACCTTTTCCCTTGAAGTTGACCTTTGCTACCGACTGGCTGAAGTCCACGTGTATCCGCCGGTCGTCAATGAGTACGTTGTCCATCTTGAAGAAGGCATTTTCACAGTCTTCCTCCTTTCGAAATAATAACAAACCAAAGTTTAAAAACAGTCAAGAGTATTATGAACCCCATGAGAGTCCCCTCTGCAGTAAAAAAAAAACACTGCAAAATATTAAACTCATATGTAACCGGCTCCACAAAAAAGGGTATTAAGTCGCGCTGAACATTATTGTGTAAAGGCCCACTCAACATTGAGAGGGTGAACATTTTGTCAAAATGTGATTTTCATTTTTTCTCATAATAATAATAATAATAATAATAATAAGCAAAGATTTAGCGCCCAATCCATCGAAAAAAAACAACAATGCTCCAGATGACATCTTTCATACCTACAGTTTCAGGTTTCATTCACAGAAATGTTGATTTTGAAGAACAAAGTGGAAAAAACAACCATTTTGTGTGCAACGTTCTGTTGTTCTACAACAAAGCCAGCTATTTCAAAGCTTGTTTTCTCATTTGTGTAATTTGAACTAGTAAGTAATTAATATGCAAATACATCATATCTCCAGAACAGGAGGGACTATGGAGCTCTATTATATACCAAATGAAAGCTTACATTGTGGGCTTTCTAACCATGTATACAACTCAATTTGACTTTTTTTGCGACATAATACCCTTTTTTGTGGAGCCTGTCACATATTTCCATGCAGTTTTTTCGTTTCCAATAATAACACCACTCAAATCCACAGAAAAATGTTCAAAACCTAACCTGTTGAAGTTTCAGCTCAGTGGATATTACCTTTTTCAAGAAAACAGTGAAAAACCAAGCACAACCCTTTTGATCAAAAAAAAAATCAGTCGATTGACTGATCGTTGGAAATCACCTACATTGCTTGATTTCTTCTAAATGACAGCAAGCCAGACGGAATAATTTCACAGGGTGTTTAGTACCAGTACAATCTTTAATCCAAGTAAGGTTTTTGATAATAATTTGGTAGGTTACGTTTGGGATCAATGCAAATGATCCTTTATGCCTTTAAACAATTTACAATGATTGTCACTGACCCGCTCAAACTCAACAAACGCATACTGTAAGGACTCTTCTGTCTTCTGGTCTTTGATCACCTCACAACTGTCAAAATATAAAAAAACAGAACTTACATAAGGGAATAAATATGTGTTTGGTCGGTTTTAAAGAAGTCCGTTTAAAACCAGCTCAAAGGGCGTGGACGCTGATAACGGCCCAAGCGGAAGCAAGGGACATTATCGGCCAACTGAGGTTTAAAATGTACATGTGAGGTTTAAAATGTACATGTGAGGTTTGAAATGTACATGTGAGGTTTAAAATGTACATGTGAGGTTTTAAATGTACATGTGAGGTTTAAAATGTACATGTGAGGTTTTAAATGTACATGTGAGGTTTTAAATGTACATGTGAGGTTTAAAATGTACATGTGAGGTTTTAAATGTACATGTGAGGTTTAAAATGTACATGTGAGGTTTTAAATGTACTTGTGAGGTTTTAAATGTACTTGTGAGGTTTTAAATGTACATGTGAGGTTTTAAATGTACATGTGAGGTTTTAAATGTACATGTGAGGTTTTAAATGTACATGTGAGGTTTTAAATGTACATGTGAGGTTTTAAATGTACATGTGAGGTTTTAAATGTACAGGCGCAGGCCCCTGAGGTTTTTATATGTACAGTGGAATCTCGATAAGTCAAACCTCAGGGGAATTGGCTAAAATTAACTTAAGCAGTGTTTTCATTTATCCAATGGATTTTCTATTAAACAACAATTGACGGGAACAAGTTTTTACTTTGAGATAGAAGGGTTTTTGAGTTGGCAGGTTTTGACTTATTGAGATTTCACTGTACTTGTGATTGACCTGTGATTGACCTGTGATGACCTGTGATTGACTTGTCATTGGCTTGTAATTGATTTATGATTGTCTTGTGATGACCCATGAGGACTATAAGCCTTTGTACTGATGACGTCATGCTTTGTTTACTTCTTGTTTTATGTCTTGCGTTTTTCTATGGGGCTACTCAACGGTCGTCCCCACCAGGCTCCCATAAAAAAAGTACACGTGTAAAGAAAGTGTGACGACGTCATCAGTACAGAGGCTTATTCTCCACTAACTCCGTCCGTGGATGGCTTACCTATTGATTTGTCCGAATCTTGAGAAAATAACCTCTAGATCCTCAGAGGTGGTGACGGGATTCAGTTTACAAACAAAAAGCACATTTTCTGGCGGCTTGACGTCTGCGTCTGGCAGATCCCCAACCTTAACAGATGACATTTATTTTAAAAAAATCAACAACTTTTCATTAAAACTTTGAGATGATTTTTAACTAAGAAAAATAGCATGGCTTCTGACTTGCACCCCTTGAACAAAGACATTGACATATTGGGGAACCGCCAACATAGGGCTGGATAGCTCAGTTGGTAGAGCACTGAAATGGCAATCCGGAGGTCGCAGGTTTAAACCCCGCTCCAGTCAATTTCTTTGTTCAACTTTGATAAAATTAATAGTACTAACAAGGCGCATTTATATAATGATGAAAAATTCCTATCAATATTTGAGGTCACTGCGCTACATCATTATTACCCCTACTCATTGGGCCAATAACAAATTTCTTAGAACATCTCAGCTCCCTTGGGAGTATAGAATCACACAAACAAATACAAAATGGACTATTCCAACAAATGGACTATTCCAAAAAATGAACTATTCCAAAAAAAGGACTATGCCAAAAAATGGACTATTCCTGATTTGCTATAGAATCAAGCAAATATAAAAAATGGACTATTTCAAAAAATGGACTATTCCAAAAAATGAACTATTTCAATAAATGGACTTTTCCAAAAAATGGTTCATATTTTGGACTATTCCATACAAATGGACTATTCCAAAAAATAGTTCCTTTTTTTGGACTATTCCAAAAAATGGACTATTCCTGATTTTGCTATAAGCCCCACCCACCTCTGGTATGTGTACATTTCTCAAGCTACCATAGTCATGTGACCAAATGTCACAATCTTATTGGTCAATATGCACTGCTTGATTGACAGGCAGGGAGGGATCATTGTTTAATATTCACTATGCACATGCAACAGACACTGACCATTTCTAAGATTTGTGCCCTGGCCTTTGACTCCTGTTCTTTGGTCATTTCTTCGACTTGTTCGGCCGTTTTTCCTTCCGTGTCGTCAATATTCTCATCAGCTCCGATCCTGCCGCTCTAAAAAAATTTTAAAATAAAGTAAACACTACATAAACACTACATGCATTAAAAAAAACCTGCCAGATGCAACACAGTTGTAAACGTTCAAAACAAATAAGTCAAATCGTCACCGACACCACGAAGTGACCTTAACCCCCGTAAAGTGGAAAATGTGTTTCGAGATACAAGTGATTTAAGTTGACGATGTTTTGAAACGGTGATCTAAACATCGTTTTAGCCTCAAAATTCTCGTTTTTTTAACATTGTCTCAAAGCTGGGATCTTGAATGTCACGTTAATGTATGATTTTTATTGAAAACAAATAATATAAATGAGTTATCAAACTAATTAACCATAAGGTCACTTCGTGGAAACTCAAAATTTAGATTACGCTGTGTTCGCGTTTTCACGAAGTGACGCTAACCATGTGTATTAGCTAATGGGTTAGCGCTACTTCGTGAAAATGCCAGAAGTGAGTCGCGCATATCATGTGACCTTTGTGTCACTTCGTGAAAACGCAAAACCCGTTTTTGACGTGTAGTGTGCAGGCACTTTACGCGCGAAAGAATGGTATAGTACACTTCGTGAAAACGCATTTTCCGGTTTTGACCCATTAAGTTGCAAACGTTCATTAATGTTAATTAATGTTTTGACAAAACTAATTAACTATGTGCTTAGTAACTTCTTGAGGTGATAGATTATGTGTAATTAATCACAAATCAGGAAAAAAAATTTGAAATTGTAAAATATTGATTTTTCGATGTTAGTGTCACTTCGTGGTGACCGTGACGAAATGTGAACACGGCTTTAGAAGTAGCACTGTGAAAACTACGGACTTCTTCCTTTGGTTTATCATACCTCAAGTTGGTCTTTGGTTGGCTCTGGTGACCGGTCGGGGATTTCCAGTCCTGGCGGATCGTCAAACGGATCATCCAGGATCACTGTATGGCTAATCCTGTGATGAATCCAATCAGTCAATCAATAATAAGTTTAATCAATAATCAAATAATCCTTTGTCTCACATCTTCACATTATGCAACTGACCACCAAAACAAACTTGACTGGCGAATGTATACAACAATGACAGTTACTACAAGATATAAGTAAAACCATCCATGTTTGGTTTTATTATGGTGTTTTTTTTTTAATTTAAACAAATCTGAGAAATGCAAACTTCTAGACTTTCTGTGTCGAAATGGACCCAAGTTACTCAAGACTAGTGACACAGACTCACACTCAGATAAAGTGACTCGACTCAGACAAACTCAAACCAAGCTCGGACTGAACTTGGACTCAAACTTGAACCAAGTGACTTGGGACTTGTGCTTCAACGTGAACCGATAAATTGGGTACTCGGATTTTAAGTAAATTACTCCTAACTCATTCTCGAAACCAAGGGACTCGGGATTCGGACTCAAACTTTAACCAAGCGACTTTTGACTCAGACTTGACTCACATGACTCAAGACTCAGACCCAATGACTGTATCACAGTTTGTTGGTATTCAGATTAGGATTGGCTTTGTGAATTGGGTACTGGACTCGGGATTCAGACTAGAACTCAACCAAGTGACTTGTGACTCAGCCTTGATTTAAGTGACTCAAGACTCAGACTCAGACCCAATGATTGTATTACTGCAGTTTATTGGTACTCAGATTACAGAGTAACTTTGTTATTTTGGACTCGGACTTTAACTGACTCCTATACCCTCAGACTCAAAACCAAAGGACTCGAGACTGACTCAAACTCCAACCAAAAGAATTGTGACTCAGATTTGAACCAAGCGACTTGCGACTCACACTCAAATCAAGTTACTCAAAACTCAGACCAATGACCGCATTGCATTTTGTTGGTACTCAGATTTAGGAGTGACTTGGTTTAATTGGGTGCTGGACTTAGGATTCAGACTAGAACTCAAACTAAGCGACTTGTGACTCGGACTCGACTAAAGTGCCTCAAAACTCAGACTGAAAGACTGCTTCGTGGTTGTTTGGTTTGACTGACCTGATGTCTTGATAAGGCCTGTTTTCTTTGTCCACTAACGCCTCGTTGATCTTGGTCAGTACGTCTAGTCCCTCGCTGATCTCACCAAACACTGTGTGCTTGCCATCCAGGTAGTCTAGGTTCTCTGCCAGCGTGAAGAAAAACTGGCAAAAAAGAAAACGGACACTTTGTGAAACGATCAGAGTTGGATTAAAGTGACTCTCAGATGAAAATCTAATACAAATATTCAAATAATTTTAAAGTTAAATAAGAAATGTACTGGAGCGGGGTTTGAACCTGCGACTTCAGGACTGCCGGTCCGGTGCTCTACCAACTGAGCTATCCAGCCCTATGTTGGCAGTTCCCCCATTTTTGTCAATGTCCTGGTTCAAAAGGCGCTAGTCAGAAGCCATAAACCCTTTATGTCATGTGGCCAGGGATCACCCTCAAAGTTACGATGTTAGCAAAACTTGCAATGCAGGCAAACCTGAGCAAAGACAAAATGGGGAACCGCCAACATAGGGCTGGGTAGCTCAGTTGGTAGAGCACCAGAACGGCAATCCGGAGGTCACAGGTTCGAAACCCTGTTTCACTGCACAGTTAAAAAAAGAACCGCTACAATCTTCTGTATCGTTACTCTTCCTGTAATAAACTCACATACCTGAGATCCATGCATATTGTCTCCGTTGTTGACCATGGACACAGCGCCCGTTCTGGTGTGTTTGATGCGCGGCGCCGTCTCCATCTCGAAAAAGCGGGCTTGATCTCCATAAAGCTTACTGCAGAATCAGTATTGAAACAATCCAGTTTAACACCCAGTCCTTCTGATTTTGAAAATCACAGGTGTGTGGAAAACGCACACCTGGATTTTTCTAGGCGTGTGATTTTTCTAGGCGTGTGATTTTTCTAGGCGTGTGATTTTTCTAGGCGTGTGATTTTTCTAGGCGTGTGATTCTGTGGTCCAAGCTGGGACTGAACAATCTCCCATTTTTTTTCAAAATATTCATCTTGGTTTACAATAAAGCCATATTCTCTTCACCGACGTACTTTATTTTTCAAAAATTATGAAGTATAATTCTGCCGTAAATGTATGCCTGATTCAGGCGTGCGGTTTTTCGCACTTCTCGGGAAGCTTTTAGGCGTGTGATGGCGTGGGGGTGTGATCGCACGCCTCAAAACAGAAGGACTGGTATAATACCGGTTTAATTAACTTTTGTAAATCAACCTGCCACACATTTTTTTAAAATTAATTAATACGATCGTTTGCAAACACCGAAAATTTTTACAAAATAGCCCACACGATTGTGAGTAAATAATAGCGTGAAACATCCTTTGAAATCGTTGAGCCCGGTATGCTGACATCCTCAAGAAAAGAGGAAAAAGAGGAATTTTGCTTCAGAACTAACAAAAACAAAACAAAACTGCCAAAATATTTTGATATGGCCCACTTGATATTAAAGGGAATGTACATCATTGGGTTTTGCTGTAATTTTCAGAAAAGAACTATTTGAGGGGTTAGTATAATAGATCAAATATTGTTACACTGACATGTTTAAAGTTTTGTGTTCGAAAATGCTGGAAAAACCAAGAAAAACAAAAATATTCAAGTAGTCTGGTTTCCTGACTCCACTAAAGATGAAATGGATCAATTTATAGATGCCGAAAAATTGTAAAGTAAGGGAACCAGTCTAGCTGGCCTGCACCCGTTCATAACCAATAGCAAACAAAATTTGGCCTGAAAAAAAAAATGGTAAATTTGGAGCAGTAGTTGAAAAATAGTTAGGTTTTTCCAACGGTGGTCGGCCAACCACTGTTGGAAATGTATACAAAAATACCACTTTCTTGAAAATGACTTCACACAAGGTGCCATAATTTTACAGGATGCTTTAGACTGTCATTAACCAACATCCTAGTAAGGTATTTCGTAAAAACTTGGTAGTTTTATTTTTGGATGTTTGCAAATGTTGTATTTTCCCTTTAAGCAAATAAAAGTATGGAACATCCTGTGAAATTGTGGAGCCTGGTATGCTGTCATTCTCAAGAAAAGAGGACTTTTGTGTCAGTACTAACGATGGTTAGGACCTAACCATCGCAGAGAACAAACAGACACTCCCTGTGCCCTATGGGTTCTACGCACAACACATTCCACGAGTTGCACTTTGACAGTTGAAATGAACATTTTTTTTTAAAATGTTTCTCCAGCACCAGCATGAATAGACACAAAACATTGAACAGCTCATTTGAACGATGTCTACTAGCCCTTAAAGGGAAAATACAACATTTGCAAACATTAAGAAATAAAACTACCAAATTATTTTGAAATACCTTGCTGGACTGTTAGTGAATGACAGTAAGCATCCTGTAAAATCATGGCACCTGGTATACTGTCATTTTCAAGAAAAGTGCTATTTTCGTATAAATTTCCAACGCTGGTTGGCCGACCAGCATTGGAAAAAAACTGGCTTTTTTTCAAATACTGGTCTCAGTTGACCATATTTAGTTAGTCTGGTTTTGTTTGCAATCGATTACACACCTGTGAACGGGTACAAGCCAGCTAGACTGGTTCCATGACCTTACAATTCTCCAACGTCAATAAATTGCTCTGTTTCATCTTAAATGGAGTCAGGGAACCAGACTACAGGAAAATGATTGCTTTTCTTGGTTTTTATAGCATCTACGAACCCAAAACGTAAAAAAAGTCAGTGTAACAATATTTGCTATAATGTATTACCAACCCCCAACTCCATCCATTTCTGAAAATTACAGCACAAGCAAATGATGTATATTCCCTTTAAATCGGTCCTCTTCATGAAATTACGACAATGCAAATGATATTATGTACCTTTAATTTATAAAGCAAAGCACATTGCTCGCAATCTGTGCAAACATTCATGAATTTCTGCACTCACCTAAAGATTGAATCACCTCCTTTGCCTGTGCCAGTGGGATCACCCGTTTGTGCCATGAAGTTTCTCTGTGGCAAAAAAAAAACCTAATCAGTTGAATGCACAGTAAATCTTATATAGAGAATCATTGGAATTTTCAAACATGTCCTCAAAACATACACTCTTTAATTGTTGTATTAAAAATGGAGTGTACTCTAATCTCTGCATTTGACACAATGGAATGATCCATTATGCCCAAAGAGCTATATTAAATTACTAGAGCGCTAACATCGTGTACAAAGTAATGCCTGCTGGGCGCATCCATGTTTGTGCACAAACCTATGGAGACCTAGACATTTTGTACGGCTTTTGTACGGCTATTTGCATATCTGCGTTTGTATTCCATACCGGTGCGTCATCGAAGCCGATACGCCCAAAACCGAAACGCACGATCAGCAAATGAGCGTGTCATTTTGCTCTACGCAAACAGCGCAAGGCGGGCGCGTATTCGCTGCAGATGCTTTTTGCCGTCACGTTTTTTTGAACCGTCAATGTTTTGCGTATGTTCTACTTGCGCGTTGCATGTAGAGTACACTTTCAAAAATCAATCCATCTAATTTCATTGTTCTACAAACACGCACATGAATTCAAAATGTCTGCGCCCAGGACGGCTTCAAAGCGTCTCCGCGCGCAAAATGACGAGTTAGCGCTCTAGTAATTTAATATAGCTCTATGATTATGCCCCATCCACTGCACGCATGGGCAACAACATGAGCACCTATCCAATGTCCACTAATCTTAACATTAGGCGTAATGGAACGATCCATTTATAGCCCCCCCCCCCTCCCACTGGCAACAACACGTGTACCTATCCAATGTCAAACAGCACTAACGTACATGTCAGACATGAACTGCTGCGATTGGTCAAAAGTTTGTGGGCGAGGCTTAACGGATCGTTTCATTGAGTACCGTCACCGACTTTGTCTAGGTATTAATCAAAACTTACCTGTACAGAATGGAACAGGCTGAAGTTATAGTACTTGATTTTGCACAGCTTTAAGAAGTTGAGACAACCTGAAATTATTCAAATTAATTTCATTTCCTTCAATAAAATTGTCAAATTTTTTAAGCAATATTATAAAGTAACTATTTATTAAATAACTTCAGTTACAAAATATGTTTATGGAACATGAGACGCTTGTAATTAGTAAAGCCTCCGAACCTTACAAACATGGGAGAGAATATAATATCCAGACGCCACTTCTTTGGTTATGTACAAAGTCTATTGAGAGTCAAGTGAATTTTCAAAGTATTTTCTAAAAAATTGGAATGTTTCCCAGTCCCAGATTCATGTCTTTCAAACATTTTTGCAATGACTGACCTTTACTGAGATATCAAACATGTATGATGAAAAAAGTGGCGTTAGGATGTAGCATTCTTTCCCAAACGGAGAACAGTACAGTGAGCGAAGATAATTAGAAATAAAGGGCGATCATGTAGTGAAGGGCCCCTGTTTTGTTTTGATCAAATTAGAGTCAAAAATCACCTTCACAATCAAAAGCAGACTTTTCTCAATTTAGTAAGGACACCTGTTTTGCACTTTTGAACAGTTTTTGGGGGTAGAAATCACAATTTTCCTGCGCGGTTTGTGCCTTGCGATTCAGCGCGCCCCGCGTGCTCACGGTACATCGCGCGGTGATCGCCATCTTTATTTTCGGGTTGCGTGTTGTCGCCGCGCTGTCATCGTCATTTTACCCCAAATTTCCCTTAAAAAATCAAAATCTTGCCCTCTATCTGTGGCCTACCTGTTTATTGAGAATGTCGCCACTCACCAACTAGTTTGGACAGTCTAATCATTTTAAAGTGGATTTTGTTCCCTAAAGTGCTGCCTTTTTCAGATGTCTAATTTTTGTGAAATTTCATGTTGAAATTTTGATACGCAAACGTGTAAAAATGAATCTGGAAATTTCACGAAAAATATACATCTGAAAAAGGCAGCACTTTCTGATTAGCCTATAAAGAGGGTGAGTATGCTTCTAAAGCAAAAAAACTCTACAAACTAAGCCTAAATGTGAAAATCAAAATTTGGCTCCGTCGACACGATTTTTGTACATGTGGATGTGTGGCCTATGTTTACGGAGGCAGTCCAGTAAATAGGCCACATTTATGGGGCTAGTCATGCCGGTGCAAATTAAAAAAAGGCGTCTGCATGCAGTGCTGATAATGAAAATATGTTTCATTTACTCACATCTAGGCCTTTCTTCAGGGTACAGATCGATCACGATGTCTCCCAAAGTGGTTTCTAATAACACCGCCATGTTATTTTAAATCAGTCAAGACTCCAATATCTAAATAATTTCATATTTTAACTTCAAAACAAGTCAGGGTTAATTTTGTCGACATGGGCGCTGCCATATTTGTTTGAACTGGTACGCGGCGCTAATTTCTCCTCAGTGCAGTGAATAGCCTATTTTCATCGGCTGCTGGCAACCAACCACCAGCGTTAAGTGTAAATGCCGCCCTCAAGAGTTGGCAAAGATTTTGCTGCTTGGAAACCAAGGAAGCTGTCGGTGAATGGTACATGTACTCGTCGAACAAATCTCGGAAAAAATGAACAAAATTCTTGTTATTTATTAAAAGTAAGTTATTGTCCATATTTTACATGATTGTACCCTATTAAAATACTTGCAAGTAAGCTGAATGTCTCAAATCATAGCCTTGTTTGTGGAAAGTTGAGTTGCCCAGTTTCCGGACTGTCTTGAACTTACTTGTTTGCCATTTAGGCCTAGGCCTAATAAACCTTCCAAAAATCTGATTGCGCCTAAACAGTAACAGTAACAATAACATTAATAATATAACTGATCTCTGCTTTTTTTACATTCTTGTATTCAGAATGTTGCTGATTTCCATTTTGGACCCAAACCTGCATTGTTTAGCTAAGTTTTAGGCAGCTTTCATCAATTTCATTTTTTAGCCTAAATCTCTTTGGTGCAGAGTGGCAAGACAAAAATGGGCAAAAAGGGCAAAAAGAAGGGGAGTGGCAAGAAAAGCGGAAAGAAGGGCGGTAAGAAGAAGTCGTCCGAGCCCCAGATGACCATCCAAGAAGCCATCTTAGCTTACCAGTAAGATTATATTGAATTTCATGTAGGCAGTTATAATATATCTTAAGGCAAAGTAAAAAAAGTAAAATAGTTTCTCGTCTGGCTTTTTGGAAAAACGAAGGAGACAAACGCTTTCTGTTCTTTTTTTCCCGAGATGGCGAATTTCCACTATTGCGGATGTATTCTTCCAATTTGTTTACTCTTTGCAGATATAAAATTGAGTCCAAGGGAGCCGTGAAGAGAAAATGGACAATATATTGACATTTGAAAAGTACATGTAGGCCTATACTGCAAATGTCTGTATGAAAAATTAAATAAAAAGAGGTGGGCAGAGACGAGAAACTGGTTTATTTTTGTACTTGGCCGAACTGAACATTTTTTTAAATGTTGTTATGAACTGGAATGATAGACTTTTGTTTCACTCTATTAAAATGCCTGCATAGAGATAAAATGCAAACAACCAATATTGTTTATCTGTAAAACTAAAAGCTGTGTTTCTTGGGTGTTGAACAAGTTTTTTTTATAATTATCCTGCTGCCTCATTTTTTCCTCTTTGGAAAAAAGACGTCCCTGTCTGCTTCTTGATCAGCACCGTTGGATTTGAAAGGCTGCAGATTTATTTCGTGGACTTTTCATCGTGATTTATAGTGTGAATTAATTTTTCTTTTAATTCCATCATGATTTATTGTGTGAATTAATTTTTCTTTCAATTTGGTTCTTAACGTAGGATCAACATCAAGGAGGAAGCCTTGGAGGAATTCATGTACGAAATCAAAGGACTCGAGGAAAAGAGCCAGAAACACAAAGAAAGGGTAATGAATTTGATCTAGACGTGAGTGTAGAGTGCCAGGTAAAACGGGCAAATCCAAGAAAAGGTCCAGATGCTCAATGTCAGTGAAACACTGAAACACATAAATATCTTAAAGCTGGAGTCTATCATTTGCAGCTATCCAAAAAGTAACTGGCGTAATTATTGTTGAAATACATACTTGGTTGAACGATAGTAAGGGGACTATAAACTCCCTGTGAAATAATTCTTTCTGGAAAGCTGTCATTTTGAAGAAATCAACAAAAGAAGGCCTTTCCAACGGTGCTTCTTAAGACGCACCGTAGGAAAATTAAATTAGTAGTTCGTTTTGTTTTGCAGCGAAGCGCGCGCAAGCATTGGCATGACGCACACGCGCGCGGGGTTGCTATAATTCGTCAGATCAGTGCGCGACATCGCGTAGCTACAATCCTACCCTCATTGAGACCGTGTCTCGGACGCTGAATTCAGGCCCAATTCAAAACATGATTCAGCAACTTTTGATTTGAAATCGAGATCCTAGAATGTTATTTTTCTCGGAATATACAGCTGAAGCTGAGCTGAAACTTCATCAGGTTAGTTGTTCAGTACCCTTCTTTAGATTTTGAGCATGTTTGTTGCTACAAACGAAAAAAATGCACAAATTACAAATGATGGACTATACCTTTAAGTGCTTTTTAGAGGTTACATTTTACGTATATGGGACGTAACATGTGCATATTTTGGACTTGCCCAAAATGATGCCTCAGTTCTCTGACCCATTTCTTGTTCAGTGCAGTGGTTTATGAGTCAAGAATCATGGTAACACCACTGGTGGATCCAGAAACAATTTGGTGTTTTCTGGAAGGGGGGGGGGGTGGTTTGGGGGAGGAGGAAGACCAACTTGCTGGCCATTATAAATTTGAGAGGGGTGGACTGATTTCTGAAGGGGAGGGGGACTTTTTCAGTCTTCCTTCTTAAAAAAAAATGAAACAGGCTTTGAAAGGACGGGAGCATGGCCCAAATTGTCACATGCATCCAAGGATTCAGTAAAAAAAATCTTAGTTTGTCCTCATTGTTTCCCAAGAATGAACGTCTGAAAGAGGAGCAACTGTATCACATCCGGACCCTCCTGAAGCAAGCCAAGGAGAGAGACAAGGAGTTAGAGCAGGTCACCGTGGTCAACAAGGAGCATGTGGAGGACGCTCTCAAGGAGAAATGGCAGGCTGCCAAGGAGGAAGACCAACAGATTGAAGGTACGGGGAGATGGGGTGCCAGACTGTGTTGTTGTCGAGTCCGTCACAAGTCCAGTCTCAAGAAAAAATTAGCGATTCAAGGTGGGACTCGGACCCATGACCTCCTGCTTTCTAGTGCAGACGTCTTACCACTCAACCACCGAGCTTGCAGGATCGGTTGGCTGGTTCGCATCTGATGTAGCAGCGGGTACCGCAATGAAGCTATTCACAAGATGGAATTTGCGTCAGGGTGATGTAAATTCAATATTAGGTTTAGCCCTTCACCGACGTATAAACACTGTATACTCGGTGTGTTGCCAACCAATCCCACAAGCTCAGTGATCGAGTGGTAAGACGTCTGTACTAGAAAGCAGGAGGTTGTGGTTCGAGTCCCACCGAAATGATTGTTTCCGATTTCACTTGGGGGGCAACACACTGAATATACGGTGCTTACCCGTCAGTGAAAGGCAATACCTAATATTGAATTTACATCTTCCCGACACAAATTCCATCTTATTTATGATTCTTGACTTTCAGACTTGAAGAGGCAGATAGCGCAGCGGGCGGTGGAGCTGGAGAAAGAACTAGTCATGGTGGCCAAGTGGAAGGAGTACAAGGACAAAGGGCAACACGAACACGCCAAGCACATCAAAATTCTGGAACAGGAGCTGTTGGACATGCAAGTCAGCTTTGATGAGATGAAAGGTAGGCAAGGCAAAACCTTGATTGATTTTAAAGATATAGTCCATCATTTGTAATTTGTGCATTCTGTTCGTTTGAAGCAACAAAAGTGCTCAAAATCTAATGAAGGATACTGAACAGCTAACCTGATGAAGTTTCAGCTCAGCTTCAGCTGTATATTCCGAGAAAAACAGCATTCTAGGATCTCAATTTCAAATCAAAAGTTGCTGAATCATGTTATGAATTGCGCCTGAATTCAGCGTCCGAGACACATTCTCACTGAGCCTATTGCAGCTAAGCGATGTCGCGCACTGATCCGACGAATTATAGCAACCAGGGGTGCGAGTGCGTCGTTCCAATGCTTGCGCGCGCTTCGCTGAATAACAAAACGAACTACTAATTTAAATTTTGCTACGGTGCATCTTAAGAAGCACTGTTGGAAAGGCCTTCTTTCGTTGATTACTTCAAAATGACTGCTTGCCAGAAAGAATAATTTCACAGGGAGTTTAGTCCCCTTACTTCTTACAACCAAGTACTTTTTCAACAATAATTACGCCAATTACTTTTCGGATAGCTGCAAATGATGGACTGTAGCTTTAAAGGCATTATGATCAATTGCATTTATCCCAAAAGCAACCCACTGTATCATTATCCAAATGCTTACTTGGATTGAAGATCGTACTGGTACTAAACATCCGGTGCAATTATTCCGTCTGGCTTGCTGTCGTTTAGAAGAAATCAAGATTTCCAACGTTGATTTCCAACAATCGGTTAATTGACTGATGTTTTGACAAAGAGTGCTATTGACAAAATCTGTGTTTGTGATCACAAGGATGTGCATGGTTTGTCACTGTTTTCTTGGAAAGTGTAAAATCCACAGAGCGAACATTTCAACAGGTTAGGTTTTGAACTTTCTTCTTTGGATTTTGAGTGGTGTTATTTTTGGAAACGAACAAATTGCATGAAATGCAAATAATGGTATTATGCCTTTTAAGTAGGGCCTTTCGATGAGTGACTCTCTTTAAGATAATTAAACCATGTCACACAGTACTTGGAGGAAGTGAACAGTTTTGTTCTGGAAACCTTTGCCAGACCACTCATCATTTATCATTTTTTCAATCTCTCCTTCAGCTCATCTGGAGAGAACCCTGAATGTGGCCAAAGACGAAATCCACAAGTCCACCGAGGAACGATTGATGGAACAGAAACACATAGCGTCAGAGGTACAAAAACCACAGCTTCAACATTTGGGAAGCACTTTTATCACAATTTAAAAATGGTCAGTGCACAAAATTGATGCCTTGATTCAATTTCGGATCTCGTCAGAAAAAAAATTGGGGCATTAAATTTTGGGTTTTGGCCGTCTCACTGACGTAATTTAAAAGCATTGAGTATTCAGTGTTGTCTGAGGGTTTGCAAGAAATTTCAAATGGTTACTCGGGCAGGACTCAAACCCACAACCTCCTACTTACGGCTGCAGACGTCTTACCAGTCGACTGCCGTGGTTGTTGGGTCTGCTGACAGGAATGAACCTTACAAAGTATTATGTGTCACAAAAAGCTAATCTTCCACACAAATTTCAGATTCTCAGGAATTGACTTTCTGGTAGCCCCATTAGAATGGTGTATTACAAGCTTTTGAGGACAACTGGAGCTTTTGATCCCGTTAGCTTGGTGGTCGAGTGGTAAGACATCTGCACTAGAAAGCAGGTGGTGGTGGGTTCGAGTCCCACCCGAGTGATTTTTTTTCCAACTTTCACTTGGAAGGTAACACACTGAGTATACAGTGTTAAAACGTCGGTGAAGGGCAAAACCTAATTTGAAGGGCAACTGTGATTGTACACAATTTTTAAAAATGGCCCTTTTTTTCTGAGTTGATAATTTTGTTTTCTCTTTTTCCATGAGCAGAAAGCAATGACAACTTTGGATAAGTGGAGCACGCAAGAAGTCAAAGACAATAAGTGGTTGAAAAAAGAGGTAGGTATTAACATCATTGTTAATGGTTCTCAGATCTTCAGTGACAACATTCTAAATGGGTACAAACACAGAAAACAATGAAACGATTCACTTAAAAATTGTGTCCACAAGGTTAACATGTTCCATTGATATCGAGTGAGATCCGTAGATGGCCCTTGTGCGTAGGCCACACAGAGTTGTAACTAAGTCATAACTGATATAAGATTTGAGGCTTTGCATGGTGGGGTATCGGTATCGTTTCGGTTTGCGGTAACACCATGTGGTAATAACTACTGCTTAGAAGATATTAGTTCTGAAAAGAACTTGTCCTGCTTATTATCAACTTTGCTAAGTAGTTTTTGTTCTGATAAGAACAGTCCATGCTGTAAGTTCTAAACGAACTTGTCTTAGTCATAACTGTTATTCATAAGTCATCATGAGTGTCAAGACAATCACGAGACATTCACAAGACAATCACAAGACAATCACAAGACAATCACAAGACATTCACAAGGCAATCACAAGACAATCACAAGACAATCACAAGACAATCACAAGACGTTCACAAGGCAATCACAAAACAATCACAAGACAATCACAAGACAATCACAAGGCAATCACAAGACGTTCACAAGCCATTCACAAGACATTCACAAGACAATCACAAGACAATCACAAGGCATTCCCAAGACATTCACAAGACAATCACAAGACAATCACAAGACAATCACAAGGCAATCAGAACGCAATCATAAGGCAATCACGAGACAATCACGAGGCATTCACGAGGCATTCACGAGGCAATCAAGAGTCAATCACGAGACAATCACAAGACAATCACAATATCACAAGTCAATCACAAGACAATCACAAGACATTTGTATCTGTTGATTTGTATCTGTTGCCCCATGCAATAATAATCTTGGCATTCAGTGGTTTAAGACAAATTTCCTCTGATTTGTAGGCGGAGCTTCATAGAGTGGAGACCAAGCATCTTGTGGAGGAGGTAGAGGCACTGGAGAAGGAGAATCTTGAGATCATGAGCGGACTGTTTGATTGCCGCATCGAGGACCTCAAGATATCAAGGTACATTTGTCTTCCAATGAATGGATGCGAGGAAGTTTATAAGTTTCTAAACTTGTAGCAGCGATGGACAAAACATAATAGTACAATTTACATCTTCCTGAAGCAAGATGTTGTCAATTGCAGGAAAGTGGAGACTGCCGTTCAATTCGTATTTCACTTTATGGGCTCTGTGCGCCAACAAAAGAGGGCGCTTTTTTACCACTTTTTGAGAGCTCAGTGAGCGGGACGCACAGCGTGCGCGTATTGTACTAGTTCGCGCGCAAAGTATGCACGACTTCCTGATGTGCAAAAGCTATTAGCCACAGTGTCTTCGCGTGAGCGTCAGGCGTCGTCTGCACGCGAATTCATTCGAATTGAACCTGCGATGGTCTCCCAGACTAATCCCCACCCCCAATAACTTTGGATCATTCGAAATACACAGTGGATGGTCCGGGAACCAGTCTAGGTCACCCCCAACTCTCCTTTTCTGGCCGTTGAGGGGGTGCTTGTGCACAGAGCCCATAGACTTAAAAAAGACATAAAAAAGTAAACTCTTATAAGTTCTTCTATAAAGTACTAACTGTAATTGAGATATTTACGCTACAGTAAACTCCGGCTTAACCGACATCGTACAACTCGTCAAATCGCTGAAGTCGGCCGTCTGACTAAAGTCCCGATTTTCCGTAATGCATTTCCCTTTTTTTCTAATATGAAACCCAGATCAAGATTATATGACTTGGAATTCACAGTCACTTGTACTTTGTTATCAAGTCCATGCAACTCAAGATTGTTTGTTTGTTTGTGCTTACAGGAATTTCTACCTGACCCAGTTTGGGGAGGGGGATGACGTTGACGACGCCGGAATACTGGAGGAAGACCTGGCCAAGATGGACATGGAAAGCGCTGACAAACCCCTGGCGATAGGGGGCGCCACACAGGGTGAGAAGCGGTCAATGAAAGGTTGGGTAACTGAAATCTTCTAATTGGATTTCACCAAGTCATCATGTGAAAATATCCTGGTATTTACAGCTATCATGGAAAGTCATAGAATTGTGTTATTTTTATCAGTAGTCATGGAAAATTGATATTACAAGGAAAGAACTATGATCATATTTGTTGTGTTTGCTCGCTGCAGGTGCTAGAAAAGCGCAGCGCCCGAAGAGCGCCACCCAGAGGGCGGTAGAGGCCAAGGTCTTCTCTCTCGCCATCAAGGAGGAGGAGGAGGAACACTCCGGGCCGGAGGAGGATGACGATCTTGGAGGAAGCTGGGACCATGGCAACCAACTTGACAACTACTTGGATTACGAAGATGAGAATTTTGACGTAAGTTGGTGCTCAGTCTTTGGGCAAAAGTAAGATATAGTAAGTCTGTCCTGAGCAATATGGCCCATCAGGCCGGCGTTTATCTCCGGTTTTAGTGTCATGAAATGACTGAGAATATTTCTGTTCCCCTGGATGGGATGCCAGTCCATCGCAGGTTACTCCCCTGGTAATGCCGGTACCCATTTATACTCCTGGGTGGAGAGAGGCAAGTGGGGATGAAGTGGCTTGCCCCAAAGACACAAAATATGGCCAGCAGCTGGATTTGAAACCCCTGACCCTCTGATCACGAGTCACGAACCGTAACCGCTAGGCCACAACTTACCCAGTTTCGGGCACAAGCAGTTTGTCAAAACTTGGAAGGTTGTGAACCGCAGAAGATTTACAGGGCTAAAGGCTAAAACCTGTCATTGCATAAATTAAAACCAATATTAAAACAAAAGGTCTCCCTGGCATAAACTTTCATCACATCTTAAGGACCATTTTTGTTCTCACATCTCAGGATTATCTGAACCTTGGACCGGTGGAGCTCAAGCTCCTGCGAGTGACCGGTCACAAGATGACCCTCATCAAGCCCAAGAAACTGACCGATGAGGAGGAGGAGGCCAAACTGTCCGCTCCAGACGTCTGGCCCGTCACTCCAGAGATGCTGAAGACAGTGACTGATACATGAGGACATCGCTAGAAAATTGACTATAGTGAGGACGTGTGCGATACAATGAGCGAGGACATCACTAGTGTGTGGTGCGAACAAAGTGAGGACAAAGTACAAACTGAATGAGGACAATACTTGTAGATATTCACAAATGTGTGAGGACGGTGCTAAGATATAGGGGAGTCAAAAAAAGCGAAACCCAAATGTCGGGACTTCTGTTTTAGTGAAGTTCTGCATGTAGCACTTCAAAAATGTAGGATATTAAAGCCCAATTCATAAGCTTTCTTTTAGTGCAAAAACAATTCTAATCGCTCATGTACTTTTGAAGTTACGGAATTTTAAACACAACCACCGTTTTAAAGTTCTGGCCACGGATCACAAAAAAGGGTGTGCGTTCTTTCAGCAAAACAAAACAATTCACATACATCCGTAAGAATTTGTTTTCGTTTTGCTGAAGGAACACTTACCTTCTGTTGATCCGTGGACAGAACTATAAAACGGTGGTTGTGTTTAAAATTCCTGTGTTGTAATTTAAAATTAAACTTGAAAAGTACATGAGTGATTTGAATGATTCTTGTACTAAAAGAAAGCTTATGAATTGGGCTTTCATATCCTATATTTTGGAAATGCTACATGTACATGCAGAACTTCACTAAAACAATGGTCCCGACATTTGGGTTTCGTTTTGTTTAACTCGCCCTGTACAGTAATCTTTCTGTAGTCAATGTGTATATATGTGTATAAATATTATGTTCAAGATCGATAAAAAATGAACAGTTGAACAAAAGACTTAAAAAAAATAAACCTTTTGAAGGTTCTTTTTAATTCATAGAGATTCGTGCAAGCTTAAATTTGGATCAAATGAAATTACTAACTTATGCAACAAATTTAAAAAAATGTATGAAAATACTACATTAGGCCCACAAAAAAAGTCTCCGGTTTCTGGTATGGAGCTTGCCCAAAAAGTGGTGCGGCGACACGGCTTTTTTTTTTTTACCTGTTTTGTTTTGCTTCAAATGTCAGCTGATGACTGCAAATGGTGCCCGACTAAACTTAGTACAAATATATGGAAGTCCAGAGAGGCCACATAAAGCTTATTCTCGATCATAACCCCATCTAAAAACACGTTAAAACTGTGCAGCAGCAGGATTCCAGTCAAACCAGTGAGTTTGGCGGTTTTGAGACATCATCTTTTATTGAAAAAAAAACTTTTTCATTTTGCCGACGCGCATGGCTACGGCGACGCGCGCGCATACCAGAAACCGGAGACTTTTTTTTTTGGGCCTTATGTTGCTCATGAAATACATGTACAATGCATAGGGTATAACGGTTGAAGTTATTTGTTTTTCAGTAATTAGTGTATTTATAAATGTATGCCACTTTGTAATCAAAGCAATCTGATATGCAAATTCAGCTAATGGTATCTGTACATTAAATCACTTAAATTGTCTGAAGTGTATCTTTGTAATAAGTGTTACATAAATAAATTGAAATTTAATTTCACAAAGACCAACTATTTTCAATTGTCAATGTTGTCACTAGTGTGAAGTACTTCTATGCAGTCTTAGGTTTTTCTTTCCATAGAAATAAAAGCTCAAAACTCTCAGAGATGAGGAGTCAAGAGAAAGGTTCTAAGTTCTAGAACTTTATGAGAAAAAGATTTAAAAAATCTAGAACTTTCCAGAACCCAGTTACACATTTCTAAGAACTTCCCATGACTCTGTTAAAAAGTTCCAGAGCTTTCCAGGACTAGGTAACAATGTTTTAGAACTTTCATGGACTTCGTTGCAAAGTTCTGGAACTTTCAATGACCGGGTTACAAAGTTTGAGAACTTTCTAGGTCAGGGATACTAAGTTTAAGAACTTTCCAACACATGGATACAAAGTTCTAGAACTTTGAAGGACTTTGTTAAAAACTTCCAGAACTTTCCAGGAGCGGATGATTAAGTTCTACAACTTTCCAGGACAGGATTAAAAGGGTCTAGAACTTTCTAGGTCATGGCTATAAAGTTCTCGCACTTTACAGCACACGGATACAAAGTTGTAGAACTTTCCTGGAGTTGGTTACAAAGTTCTTGAACTTTCCGGGATGCATACAGACCCTCTTCAGTCTTTTGAAATCTCAAGCAGTCCCTCGGCCCACAGCGACATCAAGAGGTCCCTGATGTCGTCTTCTGGCAGGCAAAGTTGGCTGCTTTCAAGCCAGTCGCCTTCTGAATGGGATTTCAGCTGGTTGATGGCTTGGTAGTAACCTGTCGGGAACCGTAGCGCCTGTGGCTGCGAGAAAGGATTAGGGGAAGATAACATGAGGATTGTTGGGGAGTGAGGTGGAGCTGGGATGGGAAACAGGATTGGGGGTTAGGACACGGGACCACACGTGTACTTTAAGTACTTTAAGGATGAAGTTATATGTTACCTTGGTTTCACCACTGCCCATCATGTGATTTGTTCGTGAGTTGGCAACCGAGTGTTGAACCACAACGAAACCTGTCAAATTATGTCCATCCTGGTTGAGGGAATCTGCGTTTGTTGCAATGTCGTCATCTTCGTCATCTTTGTCATCTTCGTCATCTTCGCCATCTTCGCCATCTTCGCCATCTTCGCCATCTTCGCCATCTTCGTCATCTTCGTCATCTTCGTCGTCTTCGTCATCTTCGTCATCATTCTCACCATCTTCATCTTCGTGTTTGGACACTTTGTGCACAAACGTGTGGCTGGCATATATTAGTCTCACTCTGCAGTTTCCTGTCGGCATGGGACCTAGAAACGGAACGTTTTTATACAGCACTTCACAACTCTTCACGTTTTGCAAAACCACTTTTGCCCATACCATTAGCACCCACATGTATAAAGTAAAGTCTGTCACGAGCCAATGTGGCCCATCAGGCCGGTGTTTATCTCTGGTTTCAGTGGCATGAAACAACTGAGAATATTTCTACTCCCCCTGGATAGGATGCTAGTCCATCGCAGGTTACTCCCAGCTAATGCCAGTACCCATTTACACTCCTGGGTGGAGAGAGGCAAGTGTGGGTGAAGTGGCTTGCCCAAGGACACAACATATGACCAGCAGCTGGATTCGAACCCCTGACCCTCTGATCATGAGTCACAAACCCTAACCACTAGGCCACACTCCCCACACACAATAGATAACACTGCATATATTCCTGCACAATTCTTCTGAGTGGATAAGCTCAGGCAAGCAGGCAGATTTGGTTAGCGGTGAATCCGAGTACCCGAGCGCTGATGTATTAGGAACTGCTTCCAGACTATGGGATCGGGTATCCGTAACCAACTTTACATATTACTTAGTAACTTCTTAGACAATGAAAAAGAAAGCTTTGAAATGCCATTTGTGGGGAATTTTCAAAATTAAACCAGGCTACATTGAAAGCACTGGGTAGAGAGAGACGATTGTGGTAAAGTGTCTTGCCCAAGAACACAAGCACCATGTTCCTGACAGGATTCGAAACCCAGATTCAATTGCTCACAAGTCAGACACCGTGACAGCTTGAACACAATGCTCCTTTACATAAAAACAGACATAAAAAAAAAAATCAGTTTTCCTTAAAAGGAAATATCCATTGGTAAACTTTATCACTTGAACAAAAAAGAAAATATGAAATGCTAATGACTCTAAGTCTTAAGGTTCAAGATCAAAACCCACCTACTGGACCTGTTTCGAGGTCACCTGGTCGGTACGGAGGCAGTCGATTGGCCACAAAGTCTCTCAACATCTGGTATTTGGCTCCTTCGATGTGATCTCCCACGTGATTGGACAGTTGGCCTAGGAGACTCTGAAATGTTGGCTTGTCATCAACTCTCTGATACAAGGAAAATAAGGAATAACAGAGAAAAATTCTTTAACCCATTAGCACTATTAGGCCCTACTTCAAATGACATTGTATTTATTAAATTACTTTGTATTACCTTGTATGACATTACATTATTTGTTTTACAATGTTCCAAATATATCATTTGAACTTAATACATTTTGTACCTTACATAGTTCGACTACCATTATTGGATGTCTCATTACAAAAATCATAATTAAAGAGGTTGTGGAATGCTCGAAGACATTTCCGTCATTTTTCGGGTATATGTAGCCTAAGGTGTGATGAAATAAAAACGACCATTGTGTGTGTCATGAAATGAGTACAAAAGGTACTTTTTGAGAGCTGTTTTTCAGGTCCTGTTTCGACCCGAACGTGCAATTTGTGTAAAAGTCGTCGTTGGGGGCAGCAAACAAAACATAGTAAATCGTGACGTAATAAACAGGACTCGTTGATACTACGCTGAATCGGGAGTCCTGATTTCAGTCCTACGTCACGATTTACTATGTTTTGATTGCTGCCCCCAACGACGACTTTGACACAAATTGCACGTTCAGGTCGAAACAGGACCTGAAAAACAGCTCTCAAAAGTACCTTTTGTACTCATTTCATGACAGACACGATAGTCGTTTTTATTTCATCACACCTTAGGCTACATATACCCGAAATGACGGAAATGTCTTCGAGCATTCCACAACCTCTTTAAAACAATGCTTGAAAATTGGCAATATATACATGTAACTTGCAAACGTATATTTTCGGAGATGCCATGCAAAAAAAAGTCACACACTTAATTTTAAAGAAGTGAGCACAATTCAAGTAGCTTATTTCTCCTTCCGACTTCTTTCCATTCCATATTAAGAACATAGCTTGTGACTGCAAATTTGATGATACTATGATAGCCTGAATTTTCAGCCAAGTTCGCTTTTGTATCTTTCCACCCAAAATTGGAAAATTGCTGATACTGCATAAACAGACATTAAAGTTGCTGGATTGGCTAGTAATAAAAACATATCCACATGTCAATTACTAGTGACAGGCTTTTGTAAGACGCGGGCTCCGATAGAAGACAATTAAGTTATATTACGAAGGGCTGTTAGTTTTAGTCTATGTAAGGTAATAGTCTGGTCAGCGCTGTTTTTATCAAATACATAGTCTCAAATCCTGAGTCTTAATTGTGGTTTCCATGGTAAACTGAAACAGTGCAAACATTGTCAATGTTGCCTCCCAAGATCGTCTGGTAATAACGCTGAGCCATCCGTCAAAACAAAACCGCACCAATGTTGGCTCAGCCATTTCACTCGCCAACCCACACCAAAGCACTCAGAGAGAAAGAAAAGCGGTCTAAAGTTGTTCACATGCCACTAGAATAATAACAGAAAACAAGGACTAAACGCAGTATTTTGAATGCTTATTATAACAATTCTTCGCTTAGAGTTTGTAGAGATAAGTGGTTTAACTTTGAGGAAAATATCAGTTTTCAAGGTAAGTGCATATTTATACGAGAGACAAAACAACTTCTCTGTTCCAAGTGCCTTGAACTAGTGTTGTACATGTAGTAGAGTACATATTTCCATGAGTATATGAATACTTTGCAATTTGTTATGATGAGTATGAGTGTTAGTACGAGTACGTACAAGTGTTAGTACCTTGCAATGAGAAAGAGTACTCTTTGGAATACATGTAATTCTTAATTGTATTGTGAATTGGTTGAATATTTTAAGTTTTGCTGAAGGCATATCAATTAACTGTTGTTACTATGTGGCCAACTGGACTCCATTTTGCCATTTTTTTTTCAACAGCTAAACGTTGACGCCATGATGACTGCAAGCAACTCGACAACGGACTTGGACGGGTTTCGCGACACCAGCTTTGCCGTGCTGATGACCCTGGGGGTCATAGGCATTCTGGGTAACGGCCTCGTCTGCGTGACCATCCTCCGAGCGCGATTCATGCACTCAGTCACCAATTTCATGATCGGGCATTTGGCATTTGCGGACTTTTTAGTCTGCTTGATGTTCCTGGTGTTTCATGAGCGTTTTGTCTCGTCCGAAGACTATTTGCATGACCCCCTACGTTGTCTCTTCTTCAAAGCCAATGTACCAGCGTGGTTTGCAGTCAGCCTGTCCAATGTTTGCTTGGTGTGTGTTACCGTGGAGCGGTACATAGCGATTGTATATCCGCTGCACTATCCTCGCTACTTGTCCAGTTTCAGGGTGAAAGTGGTGACAGTTGGACTGTGGGCTCTGTCGGCGGCATCTGCGTCCATTTCAGCATTTTTTCCGATCGATATTCATGTAACCAATTCCTGCCAGCCGGATTTGACTATCCCAACTACCCCGCTTCACATAGTCTACGTCATCAGATTGATACAGTTCGGTGTGCCAGTGCTGTTGATGTTCTTTTGCTACGGTAAGATCATGGTCAATCTGTACCGAAAAGTGCAACTTCACCGTCATGCTAACAACCACGCCCCCGCTGACGACTTAAACAGGGCCCAGCGAAAAGTTGCTCTTCTTTTGTTTTCTGTGGCGGCTATATACGTCACCATTTGGTCCTCTATTGCAATCGTTAACGGCTATCGGTATCTATCTAAAGTGAAGGACGCTTTCCTGAGGCAGATCTTCACCGAGGTTTACCCGTTACTGCTGGTCTTGAATTCGCTGGTGAATCCGATAATTTACGCTTTCAAGTACAAGGAGTTCCAAAAAGGCGTGAGGGAGGCCGTGCTGCCCAGCTGTCTTAAAAGGCAGCACAGGGTTGACGTGGGAAATAACGACATTGCGATGGGGTGAAAAAAGTTTGTCTTGGTTTCAAGATGGGATTTTAGATTCCGATGATCCCCTGACGAAAGTGGCACGGCTATCAAGAGGGGGCACTCTACTCACGCAATAGACATCCGATGAAAGCTAGACACATTTATATGCTTTTAATTTGTGAATTTTGTTAGCAAAATAGGCTGCGTCACGCGGCCTATGGATGTTACGCGATAAGCGAACGTCCTGTGGCTTAAAATCACACGCATACGATGAACGTTTATGAAATTAACGTATTCCATACGCAGTTCTGGACGGTTTGGGACAGCTTACTGAGTAACAGAGAGGGCGGTTTGAGGCGGCGCAGGGAGTCATAGGTCAATACACTCAGACGTATTAAATGCATTATGTAAATGCTCACAACACATCATTTGATACCGAATACATATTTCACTTTTTGTAGATCAACTATTGTTATTTTATGTCTCAAGACAATCATACATTTGAAAAAAATGCTTGAAATTGGCAATTAAAATTGAAAACTTAGATCCTTGGAGATGCTATGCTAAAAATGACACAAGCTTTAAATAAATGCGCATAATTTAAAGTAGCCCATTTCTCCTTTATATTTCTTTCCATTCTGTGTAAGAACATAACTTAATTAAGACTGCAATTTTTTTATGACACCGTGATACATGTAGCATGAATTTTGAGCCTAAGTTTATTTACATCTTTAATTTCAACCCAAATTTTGAAAATTGCTGATATCGCATAACCAGACACTGAAGTCTCTGCATTTGCTAATGACAACATATTCACATTTCAAGTACTAGTGACAGGCTTTTGTTAGACGCAGGTTCCGATAGATGACAATTAAGTTATATAATATGAAGGGCTGTTAGTTTTAGTCTATGTAAGGTGATGTAGTCTAGTCAGCGTTGTTTTCGCCAAATAGATAGTCCCAAATCATTACTTAATTTGCATTACAATGTATATTGAAAACGGAGTGAATGTTCCAAATATATCATTTAAAACTTTAAACATTTTGTACCTTTCATAGTTTGACTACTGTTATTTAATGTCTCAGTACAAAAAAATATAATTAAAACAATGCTTGAAAATTGGCAAAATAGCTTGCAAACTTATATTTTCGGAGGTGCCCCGCAAAAAAAGTCACACACTTTGAAAGAAGTGGGCACAATTTAAGTAGCTTATTTCTCCTTCTGACTTCTTTCCATTCCATATAAGGTCATAACTTGTGACTGCAAATTTGATGATTCTATGATAGCCTGGATTTTCAGCCAAGTTTTCTTTTCTATCTTTCCACCCAAAATTGGAAAATTGCTGATACTGCATAAACAGACATTAAAGTTGCTGGATTGGCTAGTAATAAAAACATATCCACATGTCAATTACTAGTGGCAGGCTTTTGTAAGATGCGGGCTCCGATAGAAGACAACTAAGTTATATTACGAAGGGCTGTTAGTTTTAGTCTATGTAAGGTGATGTAGTCTGGTCAGGGTTGTTTTTATCAAATAGATAGTCTCAAATCCTGAGTCTTAATTGTGGTTTCCATGGTAAACTGCGACAGTGAAAACATTGTCAATGTTGCCTCCCAAGATCTTCTGGTAATAACGCCGAGCCATCCATCAAAAAAGAACCGCACCAATGTTGGCTCAGCCATTTCACTCTCCAACCCACACCAAAGCACTCACAGAGCGCGCACAGGAAAGAAATAGAAGTGGGCTATAGTTGTTCATATGCCACTGGACCAAAAACAGAAAACAAGGACTAAACGCAGTTGTATTTTGGATGCTTATTACAACAATTCTTCTCTTAGAGTTTGTGGAGATAAGTGGTTTAACTTGGAGGAAAATATCAGTTTTCAAGGTAAGTGCATATTTATACGAGAGACAAAACAACTTCTCTGTTCCAAGTCCCTTGAACTAGTGTTGTACATGTAGTAGGGTACATATTTCCATGAGTATATGAATACTTTGCAATTTGTTATGATGAGTATGAGTGTTAGTACGAGTACGTACAAGTGTTAGTACCTTGCAATGAGAAAGAGTACTCTTTGGAATACATGCAATTCTTAATTGTATTGTGAATTGGTTGAATATTTTAAGTATTGCTGAAGGCATATCAATTAACTGTTGTTATTATGTGGCCAACTGGTCTCCATTTTGCCATTTTTTTTTCAACAGCTAAACGTTGACGCCATGATGACTGCAA